TAAATTTGTAATTTTTTTGGATATTTCCCCCATTTGCGGGGAACGAGGGAATTTTTTTCAATTTTTAAGGGTAATGTCTTCAACTAGATACGATTTGTGATCTTTTGACGTATTTTTGAAAGAAATCGGTCCAGTGAGAGCTGAGAAAAAGTGGCAACAGACATAAAAAAAAAAAACACATCATAGTAAAATTAATACCTTCTCCGCTTCGCATCGAAGCTAAAAGAATCTAGAAGTTTAGTTTTTTATGCCGAGTACGATAATTATATTAGATTTATTATTTTATGAACAGTTAATTAATGATTAATTACATAATAAAAATTGATCACTTGTGGCTAATTAATTAAGTAAAATTAAAACTATATTAAAAATATTATTAATTTAAAAAACTAAAAAATGGCGTTCGGGCCTTTTGATCATAATAAAGAGTTAAACAAACTGATGCAAATCAAGACGAAAGTACGCCTGATTGAAGCTGATATATTTTTTCTCAAAAAATGTATTAAGTTCCATATGACTCCGAAGTTTGCCAGATTACCAAGTAAGTCAAACAATAATAATATTAATTTTTACAAGTCAATAAATTTTGCTCAGGAGAAATTTCTTAAGTTAGAAATAATAAATCATTATCGCAATAGAAGTAGATTAGAAATGGGGGCTTATCAATTACATTTAAAACTTTCTAATTTTTTGAGTCAATCACAGTGGGACATCTTCGAGCTGAAGATGTACCAAGTGGTTGAACATAAATTTAAAACAAAAAAAGAAAAGTTAAATAAAAAATTTCAAAATTTACTTTCAGAATACAAAAATAAGGGTCAAATAGATAATTTTAATAAGAGTCCGGTAGTTTCATTTTCTAAAAACTGGGGGGACGATTTAGTTAAAAATTACACAAACATTGTTTTTTCCGTTGAAGAAACTGATATACTTAAGTTGGGTCTTAAAACAAGTTTTTTACCAAAAAAATTTCCAATGGAAGATCTACTAGTAGGCATTGAAATGGGGGTTAAAAGTGTTGATTTTAATAATCAAGACTTAGCAAGAAGGGAGTGTTTAAATTTTCTACAAAAAAATTCTGTTATAAATAAAGGGGGTTTAGGAAAAAATGAAAAACATTCACGACTCATAAAAGACTTAAAAAATAAAAACTGTTTTTATTTAAAGGCAGATAAGGGGAATTCTGTTGTAATACTAAAAAAAGAAGATTATTATGAAAGAGTATCAAGAATGATTCAAGAGGGTCCTTATAAAGAAATTAAAAAGAATCCATTAAGTAAAATGATAAGGGAGGCTACAAACGTCATAAATAGTTCAAAATTAATAATCGAAGAAAAGTTCAGGTTTTTCATTAAAATTTCAAACCCTCAAATACCTAAACTATATGCTTTGCCAAAAATACATAAGCCAGGAAGTACTATGAGACCTATTGTGTCGAATATTAATGCTCCGACTTACAATTTGGCTAAACACCTAGTAAGGGTATTTTCATCTTTCAAAAAATTCGATAGTTTTTCAGTTAAAAATAATATTGATTTAGTTAAACAATTATCTAGTTATACCATTCAAAATAATGACAGGTTAATTTCTTTTGACGTAGTTGCCTTATTTCCGAATATTCCAATAAATATAACAATTGATTTTCTTAAAGACTGGCTAAAGGACCAAAACATTGAACAGGATAAAATAAATGAGCTTATTAATTTAACAAAGTTATGTATGAGTCAAAATGTTTTTCAGTTTCAAAATAAATTTTATGAGCAAACTGAGGGCACAGCAATGGGAAATCCGCTATCACCATTTTTAGCAGAACTTTTCATGAGTAGGTTTGAAACAAATTTAAAATACACTTATGGTGATTTTCCAAAAATTTGGGTTAGGTATGTCGATGATATTTTTGCAGTTATAAATAAAGATTTTAATATGGGGGTTTTCATACAACATTTAAATTCTTTTTACCCATCGATTAAATTTACATATGAACAAGAAATAGAGGGAAAATTGCCTTTTTTGGATTTATTAGTTAAAAGAACAGAGGGGGAACTAAATTTTGAAATTTATCGGAAAAACACACACACGTTCAGATACATTCCGAACACATCGAACCACACCTGGCAACACAAATTGTCAGCTTTTAATAGTATGGTTTACAGATTAATTAATATTCCGATGAATAAAATAGATTATGATAAAGAATTGGTGGTTATAAAAGAAATAGCTAAATTTAATGGGTATAACGAAAACATAATTTTGAAATTAGTCCGAAAACAAAAGTGGAAAAAAGAAAGGANATTAGTCCGAAAACAAAAGGGGAAAAAAGAAAGGAGGGCAGCTAGTATACTCTCCAGCGAGGGGGAACAAAAAGTAATTAGATCACCAATTTTATTTTATCCGGGCATCTCAAATGGATTAACTAAAATATTTAAGAATTTTGGTATTACTTTGGTAACATCTAAGAGTAATAATTTAAGAGATTTATTAGGTAACCCTAAAGATAAGGTAGATGAAGGGGGGAAATCAGGCATTTATAAAATACAATGTGAAAGTTGTAATAAATGTTACGTAGGACAAACAAAAAGAAATATAGGGGTCAGGTTTAAAGAGCACTTAAGAAATATTAAAAATCAAGAAATTGAGAAATCTCCAGTGGCTGAACATTTATTGACACATAATCACTCTATTAAAACCATAAAACTAATTAAAAACGTAAATAATTACAAAGAACTTAATATCAGAGAAGCAATAGAAATGTTTAAAAATAAAAACAATTTAATTAATTGGGATCTTGGCCCACTGAAAAATTCATTATTAAACTTGTGTAAACTGGCAAAATGTGATAATATTACTTAGTGATAACGTCACTAGGTGATAAGGTCACTAGGGGTATATAAGGGAGTTTTTTCTAGTCGGAGTGTCAGTATATGTTTAGCGTTGATAATGGTAACATTGTTTCCGAAATACGTATTCGCGACTTTTCATTAATTTTTTTGTGGCTTTGAGTTTAATATTTTTAATATTTTTTAGTTTTTTANATTAAAGATAAGAATATTGGAGTTATTTTCGACAACTGATATAATTTGTGTCATATAAATGCAGCAGACAATTTGTGAACACGTTAAATATATTTTACCTGTTTATTATTATAAATTAAATGATACGTTTTAATCACAAATGTACAATACTTTTAGCGTCTTTTAAAGTATTACGAACTAATATTTATCTTATTGGTAATTATTCCCATGAAATAACTGGTAGTAAGTTACCATCAAATTTACAACTATTTAATCTGAACACTGATTTTTTGAAAATTGATCCATCATTTTGGAGTGCGAACAACAGTTACATAAATGCGTTAAATACTATAAGTAAATTACAAGTCATTAATGATACAGCCTAGCGTGGCATCAAATTAATCTAAGACTACATTAATATATTAACTACAAATGAAGAACAGAAACAATACGTTTTACAAATAGTAAGTAATTATCGGAAAAATTCCCTAATTGTAAAAAAAGTACATTATCAAAATATATATATATACATATATTATAATAATATAATTTAATTATTGTTAAAATATTTTTTTAAAAGTTATTATTAAAAAAAAAAATTAATTAAAAATTGTTACAATTAAATTAAACTGTTAGGTTTGTAATTAATCATTAATTAACTGTCTATAAAATAATAAATCTAATATAATTATAGTACTTGGCATAAAGAATTAAACTTCTAGATTCTTTTTTTAAACGAAAATGCGTTTTCCAAAAAATAAAATGAAAATAAATAATTAAAAATCAACAAAATCAGTTATAACGTATTTTAAGACTTTTACATATTTTTTACTGTATGTAGTGTTTTTGTGGGCTATTTATTGAGAAAACAACATTGAAGTTATTATTTTTGAATTTCTTGTAAAATTTCCTTTACTTGAGTTTTACTTTTATTATTATAAGTTAAGAGAAAAAAAAGTTATGAGACATATATCAGTTATTTCTATTACATTTGACTCTTCGACTCAACTTAATAGGCCCGGGGGCACGGGTTAACCTTAACGGATCGGTCCCAAATTTTGCACAGCTCATTTTTTTGACCATTAAAAAAAAATTTAGGGGTAGCGTAAAGAAAAAAAAGACATTCGATTTTTGAGGGCCACCCTAGTGTGTATATTTGTATTGACGGCCAGGCAATGTCTGCGTGGACATACATGTATATTATGAAACAATTGCATTGTATTCACATTACAACTATCTTATGGAATAAAAATATTTCAAATTTATATCTTCTGAAAAAAATTAAAGTTATCTTACACTACTTTTGCTCTTGCCCCCCACCCAATTTATGCTGTTTTTTCTATAATGCCCATATACTTCAAACAATGCTTGAATAAAAGTATATGATTTATTATTAATTTTTTAATTATTTATTTGTATAAGAAAAATAATAAAAAAATATTTATTAAATGAGTCTATTAGAACAAATTTTGTACCTCATATTAAAAAACAAAACTCTATCTCATATAAATTTCTCATTAAAATGAAGTGACATAAACATTGTTTTATTTATAAAAATACATATATCATAAAACATATAAAAAATTTAACAAAACAGTAAATTTTTATTTATTTTATCGAAAATGTCATTGTGACTAAATGAATTATGTTCAGAAAATAAAGCAATAACTGATGTATTGAAAAATAAATGTAAAAATATTAAAAATTAAAATTCACAAATAATAAAATATTGTAAAAAATTCATTTTGAAGGATCTATAGAATTATAAATTTAGTATATTCATTGTAATAATAATTGAAATTCACAAAAAAAGAATAAATTTAAAGAATATAAAAAAAATATACACGTACAATAATAAGCAGAAAAATTGATTCAAAACATATGCGTGAACTTAAATAAAAAAAGCTGCTGTACGATAAAAAATGAACGGAATAAATGTTTTTTTAAGATACCTTTGAAATGTCTCCGGGAAGGATCTAGTGAAAATTTCACACTTTACGTTTCAAAACGGCTGGGTTGGCGTGCGTTTTTTTTAAAAACAGTCTAAATGAGATGAGTGAAAAAATGTTTGAAATTTTCATTAATAGCTGCCGAGAGTTTAACATTTTTTTCGAAAATTAGCAGCAAGCTAAGTTCTTTCCCCAGAAAAGCGTTTTTTCCTTGTTCTATTATATGATTAAATGCTAACACAATGGTCCACAATTTTTTGACAAATTCGATAACTTTTCATTCAATTAATATTTTAGGTTGATTATTTTTTAAAATAATTTTTACGCCTAAAAACTTATAAATATATCATAAAACATATAGTTTTTCAATTTATTAAATACAATTTCAAGATAGCTATTCTGTAAAGATGATTTTAATGAAAAATTTGATAAAAAAATATGTTTTCCGTTTTTTTTTATCATTTGCTTAATACATATTTCAATATAAAGTACAAAATTTCAAATTTTCACAAACTTTAAAATGCTGTGGGAAATTTACTATAGAACATTAATAAGAAATTTTTTAACCAAATTTTTCCATAAAATTTAATTTATACGTAAACTATTGAATATTTAAAAAGATATGACGAATTTCCGATGAATATGATGATATAAATAAATATATAATTTTTTTATTAAATGTATGAAATATTACTCATGAAAAATGGACATGAATATGAAAAGGAAGCGTCGCGATTACCATCTAACAGTAAAGCTGGAGACACGATAGACTTGGGCAAATTAAAAATGCATAATAAAGATAAAATACTTAACTAAAATTTAATATGTATGTCATGTTCATAATTTTAACAAAGATACAAAATGAAATTAAATTTTGGAATTAAAAAAATAGAACGCTTTTGTCGAAAAATATTACAAACATTATGAAATATTAAAAGTAATATTAAGTTTTAAATAGGTACCTCAACAAATGTAAAAGAGATATAAGTTAAAATCAGACTCAATATATGAAAACGTTTTAATAAAAGTAAAAATGATTAACAATTTTAAGGGAATTTTTTAATTATTTATTGTAAACATTCAATTCAAAACCCACACATACAAGTATATAGTTATTGAATTTTTATATTTAAAATATACAATTTTATAAAATATAAATATAGTGTCATATTAATCTCAATATTTATTCAACACTTGTTATAATTAATTGATGAGTAATTAAAAATCTGAAACAAATTTTACAATTGGGTAATATCCTTTTGGTAAACTTTTGTTATATCAGCCTTCAATTTTTTAGCAATATAGAAAAATATAAGCCAATACAAAAAATCTTATACAAAAATATCAAATAGATAAAAATAAATTGTTTTATTATGACTTATGAAAATAAAATAAACATTATGAGCAAAAAAATGTTCAAGTATCGCTTTTATTTTTTGAAGGAGAGATCTTAAATCCCCAGCTGTACGACCCTGTTTGGATTCATTTCCACTTATAAATATATCTTTTGAAATTGTTGTGCCCCAACTAGGCTGAGACACTGTAACTGTTACAGTGGACTGCAGGTTGTAATTGAATTAAAATACACTTCACTTTTTCAAATAATTACAATAACATAATTTAAGTTCTAGAATTAACAGCTATTATTAAATTAATTATAAATTAATAGTGTTATAACAATAATTAGCAAATTTATATTCATGTGACAATTAATTCAGAAACGGTTCGAACACTATTGAAATTCCTTACCCAAACTGTTAGTTGTCCACTTACTAATTAACTAACTAACTTAACCCCACTACAATAATACGGGTTTGTAACAAAATAATTTTTTTGGAAAAAGCACATATTAATTCATATTGAGCGATTAGAATTGTTTTTGCTAATCATAATAGAAAGTGTGTTGATCTATATATTATATATATATATATTGAATAAAAATTTAATTCTCCAATATTATTATTGAAGATTTTTTAGGTAATTTTCTTTAGGTGGATGCCATCACCTAATTCTCTCATAATAACGATATTTTCTATTGAAAATAATTTCAATTATTTTTAACTCGAATGTCTGTTTTTCAATTTTTTTAACGTATAATTGGATATTTATAATTGAGACTCGTAATGTATATTACTCATTGTGAATATTAACTGAAAACAGACAAATAAATTGATATTATTTTTTAGTTTTATATTTAGAGAAAAACATAAAAACTACGTAATAATAACAGATTTTTCAAGTTATAATTTAATTTATTACTTTTTTTTACATACAATTGAAGCCATATTATTTGTCTGACCCCAAAAAAGAACACATTTTCAAACGATATAAAGCACTGGGTACAAAAAAATAGTGTTTAATATAATATTTTAAAGAAAAACTAAAAAGGTTGCATCATTTACTATTACAATGTGGCTTAAGATTTTCAGATTTTTTTGTGTACTACTGTTGATTATTCTACCAAAAGTTTTATCAAGTAGTTCTCAAAACGAAAATGAAGAGAACTCAAATAATGAGGTAAATAGAATTTTCTCAAGTTAAAATAAAATACATATTGTATCCATATTATATATAAATTATTTAATTATATTTATGCAAGTTAAAGTGTTCATTGTATTAAAACCCAACCTAAACGCGGACTAGGACACTTAGTTGAGGCCATTTTAACGCCAAACTCTTAATACATCAATTTATTATTAACTCTTTTTCGAAAAATTATAATTATTTTAGCCTAATTTTTTATTGAAAAACCCTTAAAATTCCAGTATAACGATAAAAATTTAATTATTTTGTAATATTCATTATTATTAGAGATTAATATGGTTAGTATTAATTTCAAATGATGCCTGTAAAGTTTGGTAAGATTAAAGACTCATAAACACCGCACTAAGATTTTATTATTTAATGTACTCATATTTTAAAATGTTTAATATTTTATCATTTTTGTTAACAGAGTATTAATTGTTTAGATATCATTAATAAAATTAATGTAAGTTTTTATATTATTTAAAGAAGTATTTAATTAATAATTTACTAAAAACAACTAATGGAAAAAAATATAAATGTTTCATTAATTATAAAAACCAAAAATATATAAAGAGTGATTTCATAACTATATCTCATGAAATATATTTGAAAATATAAGAGCTATATATATTTATTTTTTGTAACAATAATAATTATTTGTTGATCTTCTCAATGAGAACAATTCAATTTACGTGTAGTCCCTTATGCCTTAAATAGTCATAATCTTTTTGTTATTGAAGCGGATTATTATTGGTAATAAATTTAACGCTCACTTATAAATAATTTGTTTGATATTTTTTTAATTTTTAGATTAATGTGATAAACATTAAATTTAAAACTTGAATGAAAATATTTAAATACAATTGTGACTATGAGCGCGTCGCTGATGGATCAGTGGTTGAACGTACACTGATTAAAACTATGCTAAAAAAACATCATTTGCGGCCAGATAAACAAAGATAAAGATACAATATTATATAATGACTCGCGCTAACACTTTTGTTTGTCAAATAGCAGCCCTAATTTTATTTAACTATTTTATATTATTTACTATCAAACTATTACGTTTGATTGAATAAAAAAGTATTTTGCACAAACATTTTTTTTATTCAATCAAATTGTAGTCAAGGTAATACACTGTATAGATATAAATTTAATGTTTAAATAGAAAGACTCTCTAAGTAGCATTGAGTTTCTATGAAAAATTCCTAAATGTTGTTTTAGTGTTAAATTGAATTTATGCACTAAATAAGAAGATTAAAAGCATTCCAAACACTATCATTGAAAATAAATACGTAGGGTACTACAATAACATCATATAATTAACAAAATTACCCTTCTTTAAACATTTTTCAAAAAACTTTCTACACTTTGAATAATTTGTAACTTGCCGTAAGTGCCTAAATATTCATTCTGGCATTCGTAAATCCAAGCCCGTTAATGTTCGTGCTACTAATGAGCTTTTTAAATATTTAAAGCTAATTTAAACTATAATATACAAGAAGGTCCACAATGTTTAGACATATCCAATAGAATATAATAATAATAATAACATTTAGATCCATCTATTTTCCGAACTTGCTATGCTACTGAAGGTAGTAGCCCTTTTTATATGTTACGGTGTCAAATATGATAGTTTTATGAATAGATTAGTATGTTTTTATGATAGTGTATTTAATCACTGTCAGATATCACTTTACTTGACCCAACTATGACACGTCCTCACTGTGCTGGGTTTTTTTACTAAAAATTTTAATGTTCTAATAGTAATTTTAGGAGATTTATACAATTCAAATTCTAAGTTCAAATGAAGTTCTAATACCAATATCATTATAGTTTTAGTTTTTTAAATATTTTTCCAACAAATANGTTTACTACAATTGATAATAACAATGCTGTGTACCTGCTAATATCGATGTTATAAAAAACCAATTAGCTACCTATATTTGTAATCCCTTGTGTATTATACCTGTATATTAATTCAAAAATTTGAAACTTTAAATGATTATATCTAATAAACGAATTAAGTTATATTAAAAATTCAAATGCCATTTACTATTAAATTAAAAACTCAAACATTTTATTAAATTAAAAATATGTGTTACCATTTAAAAAAACAAAGTTGACCCCCCTCCAAGGCATAAGGGATGAACTTAAAAAGTATTACATAGTTAAAAATTCAAGAATAATGTGTAACTAAA